AAAAACAGGCATTCTGACTGTGAGCGGGTTTGGCTCTCCACAGATCTGACCTGTATCTTGGTGTCTTGGTTTGGTTTCCATGATGATAGGAAAGGTTTAATACTGCACTGGGTAGGGATGTAACAATAACAAAAATATCATGATATCGTATGGTCAAAAGTCTCACAATAATATTGTAATTGGGTCACAATATGTCGAATTACAAGTTCCTTTGCTTAAATGTATGGTTTTATAGTAGCAACAGCTTATAAACAAATGGAACTACATATCCCATGATTCATTTCAGTGCAGACAACATGAAGAGACACGTTTTTTATTTGAATTCTTGGGATTGTGGACGGAAATAATTCACACCAAAATCTCGACAAAGGTATTTTAAAAGCAAAAATGTGTCAATGTCATGGGTTCGTTCAAAATAAAAATGATGGCTCAGTCGAAAAAAACTTCATTTAAGTGCGTTTTTATTCACACCACAGCCCAATAGGCAGAGTGGAATATTTACAGTGGAAATTATGTGGTAGAGTTTAAAAAAAAAAAAGTCTTTACAGAAATAGCACTTACAGTAGCCAGCACCCATGTAGTCAGGCCAAAAACAGACAACTCACAGTCATATCTACAATTGTATCAGCCTCTCCAATATATTGCAATAAATATTGTATCGTGAGACTCATATCATGATAATATCGTACCAAGAGATTTGGATATCGTTACATCCCTAGTACTGTGATACATCCCAGACAAAGCAATAACATCTCCATGGAAAAAAACATTTGATGGACTCTCCACCAGAAAAGTTACACTTTAAATCATAGTACTTTCTGTATATTATCATGTGGGGTGTAACGATATCCAAATCTCTCGGTATTATCTACGATATTATCACAATATGCTTCTCATGGTACAATATTTATTATGATTAGAGCCCGACCGATATGGATTTTGCTGTGGCCGATATGAAACCGATATAATGGGAGTTGGCGCTGCCGATAGCCGATATAATCGCCGATATATTTAGTGATGTAAAAATTCACTGTAAATGTTGAATTGTTTAAAAAACTTAGGTTTGGCTCTGGTGGATTTTAAATTGGGTTTATTTAGGCAACATTTATTGTTATTCTGCCTCTTTACATCATATTTACAGACAGTAGGTTGGTTTAATGGCATTTTTGCATCACATTCTAGACACTAGTGATGGGTATTCCAGTTCTTTTTATAGAGAACCGGCTCTTTTGGCTCGGCTCACTAAAAGCTGCTGGTTCTTTTGGCTCCCAAGTGGCTCTTCAGATTGTTTTGTTGCAAGCAGGACTAAAGCACGTCTAAAGCAGGACTGAATCAGGACTGAACCAGGTCTAAACCAGGACTGAAAAAGGACTAAACCGGGACTTATTTATTTTATGCTAAACTACAGTCAAATATGCTCGTTTTTTTTATTTTTTTATTTTTTTTAATCCTACGTACACGCAAATTTCAAAGTTTCATTTTTTAGCCGCTGCCGCTGTCAAACCACGAATCTGCACGCGGCGTGAAGAGAAAAAAAAGTGAGAGAAAGAGAAAAACACGGCTCCCAATAAGGATCAGGCTCCCGTCGTTCCCTTCAAAGAGTCGGCTCTAAGAGTCATTTCGTTCGCGACGGACCCATAACTAGTAAAGAAAGTAGCGCTATTAGCCTTTAGCCGTAAATACGTGCGCGCCGCGGTAATTAATTATATGCGCAAATGTCATAATTCACACCTCTATTCACAGCTCATTTACATATCAGTGCAGGTCCAGTAGCAAATATACGGCCAATATAGTCACTTTAGAACAGACCAATAGAAAACAGTCTGTTTATGTGCGGGAGCTACAGCAGCTAACCCATAACAAATGACAAAAACTAGCTTCAGAGTCGACATATTTCCAACACTCACCGCTCATACAAGGCTCCTCCTCACATCACAAATCTGCACTAATAAATGTCCTTTTAATCCAGACTCAAACCGATTGTCCGTAAAAAGAATATAATCTCAGTGTTTGGATCTGTGTCTGCAGGTGTAAACAAACACACGTGAGTGACGCGACTCTGTGGTGTGTTCAGGGACAGTACGGACACACACAGACAAATGACTCCGTAGATAAATACTGATGTGGAGCCACATATTAGGACATTTATCTGTCTGTAAATTTGATTAAATGAACAGAATGTAGAGAGTCTAAGCTTTATAACGAGGTATAACATGCCCACGTGAAATATCGGCCCCTATCAGCAAGCATATCGGCCGATAGCCGATATGCCTAAAGTTGCCCATATCAGCCGATAATATCGGCCAACCGATATATCGGTCGGGCTCTAATTATGATATTTTGGAGAGGCTGATATAATTGTAGATAGGACACTTTTTTGCTTTTAAAATACCATGAGAAAATTTTGGTGTGAATTATTTCCATCATAAAACATATTTTTTCATGTTGTTTACACTGAAAGGAATCATGGGATATGTAGTTCCCAATGTTTATTAGCTATTGGTACTATAAAACAATGTATTTAAGCAAAGGATTTTGTAATTCGATATATTGTGACAGCCCCACGATATTCTTCTGAGACTTTTGACAATACGATATCATAATATTTTGGTTATTGTTACATCTGTAGTGTATACTATTCTATGTGGTCCTATACATGTTGTCAAGATCCCTTTAAAGCTCAAAAAAGGTTCATTTCTGTCCTGTAAATATGACTTTTTTAGTATCGATACTTGCTCAAACGAGTATCTAGTTTCGATACTAGTTTTTAATCGATTAGTATGTGATTTTCAATATTTTTGACACCCCTATTCCTCAGCATGGCATTTAACTCCTCTCCATGGAGACGAGCAGGTGACACCACAGAGCCTCGTGTCATTTTAGCAATAAAAACACCTGTAACTGAATAATTGCCAGACAGTTTATTACCATACTGTGGAACATCTCAGACTGAGCAATAACATCTCCATGGAGACAAGCAGGTGGCAGAGCTCCATGGGAGAGGTTACACATTGCACCTTAAATTCACATAATCTTGTCTTTACTTTTTTATATTTGATCATAAAAAATAGATGTTTATACCCTATTTGCAAAAGGGGAATATCTTTCTCATTTTTAAATCTCCAGTTTCTCCCCAAGAGGCTGTTAATATAAAAGTCTTGTAAACAATTGAAGATAATGCAATAAAAATGGGTGATTAAATAAAGGGAGAGAGTGAGAAGAGAGGACATAACTGATCTCAGACTAAGGGACATTAGGGACATCTATTTTTTTCCCCTCCAGTAAATTCCACGCTGACATTTGAACATTAAAACTGGATGATAGCGGATAAGCTGGGCCTCTGTTGGCGTTAAAATGACTTGCAGAAATGGCATTAGATCACATTAAGGCTAAAATCACTGAAGTTCATGTTCTCATGGCTTGACTAATGGGTCTTAGGGTTTGTGTCTGCCATTTGAATTATCCACTCTACTGACCAATGTCACGGCACACGGACACTATCCTGGGGCGGGGTTCACAATACAGGGAGGGGGTTTCACAATAATATTTCACAAGAACATGTCTAAAAAGCTTACCTCAAAGTCATACTCCCATTTGCCAACATACTAAGTGAGAAAGAACACAGATAGAGCGGACGTGTGGGAGAAGGAAACGCTGACAAACAGCTCCATCTAGTGGTCATGACTGAACAAGCCTGACTTTTCAATATATTATGATCAAAGTATAAGACATAGTGATATTATAAAAAAGAAAATATGTTTATTAACTGCAATACTAATAGAATTCAACCATCTTTTGTTAAAGGCCTTACATGAGGGATTATAGATATAGTTATTGATAAGAAGTACTATGTTTAATTATATAGTCACTAAGGGAAAAATATTATAATAAATGTTCCTTTTTTCATGAATGATGTTAACTAATCAATATATATTTTTTCTAATTGTAAAGTAAATGTATTTTAAGTATTGCAGTGTATGTATTTTATGACTTAAAGCAGGGGTTTCCAACCTTTTTTCTCCGGTGAGCTTTCTTTACAAAACAAAAATGCAAGAGAGCTACTAATTTTAGAGGCCGCAAGAAATTGAGATGATTAAAAAAAAGAGGGCAGGCCTATGGGTACAGTTAGATGCCTATAAAACATAAACCACTGTCCATTTATTAGTGCACAAACTTGGACTAAAGAAAAAAAAAAATCATACATTTACAGTACAAGGTAAATAATTAACCAGTTTTTTGTTATTCAGCACAATGGTGTTATTCCGAAATCCATTGCTGAGCTACTTTTAAGGGGCTGGAGAGCTACTGGTAACTCCCGAGCTACAGGTTGGAAACCCCTGACTTAAAGCGACAGCATATATAAGATTTAGATTTTAAATTCCATAGACATGACCTGTCTGTGTCCAGAAACAAGCTAAATAATGTTCAAATCAAATATAGCCTTTACTAATAACAATTCTAATGCTGATTTATTCTTAATTACAAAAACACTGGGCATAATGGGCAAGATGTTTATGTTAAAATGTTATGTTTTGGTTCTCAAGATGATTATGCAATTAGAAAGCAGAATGAGCCTCAAATCTGTCTCTCATTTGAGTTGCCAGTTTCAATGCTGAAATCTTGTTGGTTTAAACCTAAAATCCCCTCTCTCTGATCTGAAACACCTAAAACTAAACCCCAGCAGCCAATCGTAACATCAGCGCAACTCAGTGAGTGAATTCTGATGAGACATGGTCTGTCTATATACAGAAAAAGAGAAAAACCTGTATGTGTGCAGGTTTAGGTACTGGCAACCCAGGTTCAGTTGCGATTGGAGTACTTTTTTCTGTATATTGTACCTCAAAATGACAGTAATTTTCTGATGCTGATGTTCAGTTTTATTATTGTAATGTACTCCTTCCAGATATTACATAAATGCAAATTGTACACCAAAATAGACACTCAATCTGAATATATGAATAAGAAGTACATGTACTAGTATGAGCACTGTGTGTGAGTACCTCTGCGTCGTATTCAAACATCTGGTTGCCCTTCATGTGGTGACACTTGAGCATGACCACGGGCCCATTGAGGCGAGACACGTCCAGGCACAGGTCGTCTGTGCGGATCTCCTTATCCGCCGTGTACGAGAACACCTGCAAACACAACAGAACATCATCAGTGACTCACAGCTCCCGGATTTTACATGGATTTATGGAGTACTCATTGTTTTCCTAAAGGTGCACTGTGTAACCTTATCACTCATATATCAAAAGCTGATTATTATAGGCAAAACTATTCTGTTCATCTCTCTGTTCTGGCGTTGCTTTGTCTGAAGCTCTGTTAGTCAAAATAGACTTAAATCTCAACTTTAATTTAACGCAATTTGACCAGAAAGAAGTGCCCAAGCTGGACCTATCAGACGAGCTGATTTATGCTGTTAAAAAGGTTTGTCAGACATCAAATTACAGTCACGAGCTAACTAGCAAAAGCCAATAGTTTTTTTGTTAGTCACCTTTTGGTTGAAAGTCAAACATTTAAACAGGATCATGAGCATTTGTATTGATCACAAGCTAGTCTGAAAATGAAAAAAAAAAAAAAAAAAAAATAAATAATATATATATATATATATATATATATATATATATATATATATATATATATAGTGATTTAAACAACTACTACAACAACTACGAGTGTGCATGGTTCTGTTTACGAAGTTTAAAGTTTGAGTTTGAGAGTGGCTAAGTAGAAAACTGTTGGCTCATGCTAGCTAGCTTGTGTCTGTAATGTTATTTGCCGAGGGACTTGTTTAACAGCACGAATCATCTCACTCCTAGATCCAACTAAGTCAGCTCTTTCTGGTCAGCTATTAAATGAGATTAAAGTTTTTGAAATCTTGGACATAGGACCTCATTTCCTAGTGAGTCAGAGTGTTGGAGACGTGTGGAGACACTTTTTTAAATATTCCATCCAGTCCTTGTATTTGCAGAGGTCGCTAGTGCTGTGTTTTGTTTCATTCACAAATGTAATCCTTTATTATTAGTTTGTCTATAACTCCAAAGCTCAGAATGCTCTGTTCCACCTTGTGATGTCATGAAGCGGTAGTTTTCAAGTTAACAGCTCCCTTTTACCTTTAATTCAGTAAAGATTGGAACATCCAGGGCTGGAATGATCCAAATGATTCTAGTAAAAGTGTATGGAGTTTAAAAACACAGTGGAGCACTTCCTGTATTACCACAAGACATCAGAAGGTGGAACAGAGTGTTTTCTGTTTGAGAAAAGAACTCAGCCTAAATATGCAGCATTTGTGCGTTAAAAATGTGTGAATGAAACACACAACTCCAGGTAGGTACTCCACAATAAACCCGAAGCAAATCTAATATTATGCCAGACTGTCGACATAAATGTCTGTGTTGATAGAATACTGTTTGAAATAAAACTAACCTTGCATCGCATGAATTGTCGCAGGGACTATTTTCTCATATATCAGTCCGCCGCTGCCAAACTTTCTATCAGGGAGTACAACTCGCTGCTGCTGCTCAGACATAAATCCTTCAAATGCAAGGTTGGTTTTACTTCTAAAATTATTCTATCGACACAGACATTCACATCGACAGTCTCGAGTAATAACAGATTTACTTCGGGTGTTTTGTGGAGTGAGTAAGACTGTTTTTAGTGGCAGGATAACTACGGCCATTGACATCCACTAGCCTAGCACCAGTGACCTCTGCAAATACAAGGACTGGATGGAATATTTTAAAAAGTGTCTCCACACGTCTCCAATACTCTGGCTCTCTAGGAAAAATTCCGAACTGTCCCTTTAAAGTCTAACAATGCTTCAGACGGACAAGTGCCTCCAGTTAGAACACAGCCCCAGGGAATGTTGATGACATGAGCTGCAAAGTATCAATTAGCTGACAATGTTTACTCTTAGATTTTTAAAAACACATCCAAAAAGCCAAACAAAGGGTTTATTTGATTACTAAAATGAAAAGATGGAGCCTAATAAATGCCCTTGATAAAAAGAAGCACATGAGTATTATGAATGAGCTGAACTGACAACTGTTAATTTAGACATCTGCACTTTATATTTAACATGATCACACTGGACTGAGCCATAAGGACTGGAACAGATGGTCCATGACTCTGCATTAGCGTGGCCTATTAATAACACACCACATTTATATTAGAATGTGCTCATAAGGCTTTAAAACGGATTCAAGAGTAAAATAAATTCAAGGTACGCAATAAGCGCACTAAAGCTTACAAATAAAACGCATTGAATATTTTTATAAGAAAATACAGTATATCTCAGTATTTTTGGGATAGAAATGTCCCACAGTGTGTCATTACATTTTTGTGTTGTGTTGAGATTAAATGGTCTATTATTCTATTTTTTGATCTATGTTATAATGTTGTTTCCTCATCACAAACAGACCTGGAGTTGTGTTTTGTTTCATTCATACACGTTTAACGCACAAATCCTGCATATTTAGGCCAAATTAGAATTTATTATCAAAACAGAAAACACACTGTTCCAATTTGAGATGTCATGCGGTAATACAGGAAGTGCTCCACTGTGTTTTTAAACTCCATACACTTTTGCTAGAATCATTTGGATCATTTCAGCCCTGGATTGTCCAATTTTTACTGGTCTAACGGCAAAGGGAGCTGTTAACCTGAAAACTACCGCTTCATGACATCACAAGGTGGAACAGAGCATTCTCAGCTTTGGAGATATAGACAGACTAATAATAAAGGGTCACTCAAACATGTGTGAATGAAACAAAACGCAACTTCAGGTACACTACTGGACAAAAGTTTTAGAACACCCTAATTTAAAGTTATTTATTGCAAATCAAGTCGTGCAAGTCCAAAGAAGAGCTTGAAATGGTACAAAAGGTAAATACTGAACAGACAGAGGTTAAAAAATAGATAAAAGATACAAAACATAAGTCCAAGCTCTGCCAAAACTACCTCAGGAAAAAAGAACAAGATGGTAAAGCTTGAAAACATGGAGTGTCCAGCACAGTCTCCAGACTTAAACCCCATCGAGCTGGTTTGGGATGAACTGGACAGAAGAGTGAAAGCCAAGAAACCTACAAGTGCCACACATTTATAGGAACTTCTGCAACAGACTTGGGAAGAACTTTCTGAAGAATATTTGATTTCTATTGTAAAAAGAACGAGTCACGAGTGTGTTCAGCTGTTATATCTGCCAAAGGTGGACACTTTCATGAAAAAGTTTAGAATACGTTTTGGTCAAGAGTAAACAGTAAAAAAGTGGAAAAAGTGTGGTGTTCTAAAACTTTTGACCAGTAGTGTATGTTTTTATTGAGGTAACAGCATTATAACATGACTTTAAGCTCACAAGACTCAATTTTGTGTAATATAGGACCTTTAAAGTATCAGGCAAATGTGAAGGAGTGTAAAATTATTATAAGTGCAGAAGCCTCTTTGTTTATACCTCTTTTGCTCCATTTTTATTGTTAATCAGCTCTTTTTTGCAACAATATACCCAATCATTATGAAAATTTTACATATTTTCAAAACTGATTTCACATTATATTTCAAAATTTGATACATTGCACACCTCTATCAATAATGTTTATTTTGTAGGGTTGCCTGATACACAGCACAGCCTGATGCATGTGTAGGTGCAGACAAACAGCAGGTCTATTCCTGTGTCTCACCTGATTGCCGCCCATGCCGTGGCAGTTGAAGAAGCCCACCTTCTCGTTCTCCTTCCTCCCCATGTTGTCCACACACTGGTTGGTCTCCACGTTTCTGATCTGCACACAAACACACACAACATATGTAACGATCAAAAACACTTGCTGATCAAAATAAAACATAAAAACAGCATTGCAGGTGAATCATTAAAAATATGGATATATGGGATTTTAATCCAGGTTAAGAAGACAAAACTGTTGCTCCATCTAAAAGTACTCATGTTAATATTAAAGGGCTCATGTTACACTATTTTCTGATCAAAAATAAACCTGGAGTTATGTTTGTGTCATTGAGCTTTGGAGATGTAGACAGACTAATAATAAAGAGTTACTCAAACATGTGTGAATTCAACAAAACACAACTCCAGGTCTGTTTTTGAGTCGCTAAGAACATTTTAACATGACTTAAAGCTTACAAGAGTCAATTTAGTGTAACATACAACCTTTAAAGTGGAGTCAGTGGCACAATAGGTTTATTGATCTTTATTCAGACAGGATCGCGCTGCTGAGATTAAGAATCTTTTAGAATATAGAAAGGAGTGCCAAAAGATTCACATTAGTAAACAATTAAGTGTATGTGATGGGATGAGGGGGTTAGGCGCGGCACAAACCGAAGCGCCCGAACACTTGCAATGGGGGTAGACCAGGGGTGTCCAAACTTTTTTCATCAAGGGGAACATATCTAAACACAGATGAAGCAGAGGGCCGATCGAGGGCAGTAGACTGGTGCTCAGTACAGGGAATAATTGAAATGTCTGCAAGTTTAACATGTTAGAATGAGTCATCAGACTTTATTCATGCCAAGATCCTTAAAACCACACACTAAATATGAAATATTAGCTTGATCAAGACAGATTTTCAAAAAACTTTCAGTAAAAAATTATTTTTTAATTGATGCAAGGTAATTTGGGCCAATTCACCTGAAAGTCTTAGGGCCAAAAAAAATTTGTCTGAGGGCCGCATTTGGCCCCCGGGCCATAGTTTGGACATGGCTGAGGTAGACCATGGATATATAATAAAAATAGTCGAAACCAACTAGTGGCCGCTCCATGTACTGCGGCTCTCGAGTGCTTGGGCATCTCCCATAGAAGCACAATGCATTTTTTGGGAATTCAAACTGTCTGTGTTCATCTGAAGGGCATCGACAATTTTCACAAAGATAGGATTTTGTAGGGATTCTTTTCTATTTTCACAATATAAACTTTTTAAAATGTTTAAATCCTCAAAGCCCCGCTCTCTGCCCGCACTCGCTCCGCTCTAGCAGCTCTCGCCCTTGGTCCAAACGTCCACGTGCACATTACAGACATCACACGGGTTGAGGCGCTCGCCCATGCTGAGGAAATAAATGCGGAAGTGAACATTTTTCTTGGGACCATGCACCATTGAGCAGAGGCCATTGAAAACAATACGACGCCATCTTGGATTCATCTTCCAGATTTTATTATAGTTCTGTGGGACAGACTGGGTGCTGATTGGACGAGGAGGAGGTATGGTGAGCGATGAGGAGGAGTAATAGGAGTGAGATGATGAAGGCTGAGGAGCAGGTAAACTCTAAAGAAGCAGTGCGGTGGACAGAAGCCAAGTTATGTCTTCCAGGCTGAATTTACTCGAGCTCCATTACTTTGACTGTGTTTTGCTGCTGACAGTTGTGTAGATCTGATGTAGCCTGTTGCAGCTGCCTGGTGCTTGGCTGATTCATATGGTGTGTGTAGTGAAGAGGCTGTGTCAGGACAAACTGTCACTCTGCACACACACTCACATTTTCAGAGCAGTCATCACTCACGGTTTTATACAAACAGTGCTCATGTATTAAAGGTCTCATACTTCGTAAAATTGACTCTTGTGAGCTTTCAGCTGTGTTAAAATGCTGTTACCTCACCAAAAACATACCTGCTGTTGAGTTTTGTTTCATTCATGCATGTTCTAATCTACACCTCCAAAGCTCAAAATGATCTGTTCCAAAATAATTTGAGGTTTTGATAAATACATTTATCCCACCAGAAAGCATTTGGATTGGCAGTTTCCATGTTGAAATCGAGTTAATTTGAATCTAAAATGCCTCTCTCTGGTCTGAATGGTCACTACCTAAAACCCAGCACTTTCATCCAATCATGAATCTAGTGCTAGTGCAGACTCTGAAGCTCAGTGAGTGAATTCTGGAGGTTCAGAGCTTTCACATGAGTCATGTCCTGTCTGTATACTGAAAATAAGGAAAAAACTTGTATTCTCACTAGGGATGTAACCAGAGGTCAGACCAAATCCTTGTTTTGCAACTCTCAAGTAAGTCTTTGACCTCAAATCCAAGTCAAGTCTCAAGTCAAATACCGGCAAGTCCAAGTTGAGTCTTGAGTCACTGACCCATAAGTCCAAGTCAAGTCCAAGTTGTCTGCTTTGAGCTTCAAGTCATTTCAAGTCTTTAAACCAAAATACCAAATATAGCTTAGATTTTTGCAATTTATATGCATTTCAAGATAAACTGTACTTATAAAGTCATAGTATATTTATGTATGAGTATTTATAGAGGATATAAGAGTTGTAGAAATGCATTTTTTTTTCCTTTTTAATGTCTTGACAAGATCTTAGTGAATCATTACGGTCATAATAGAAAGAATTCAGATGTAAAAGTGCTTCCCAAGTGAGTCCCAACTCTTAGTCCATTTTATCAAGTCAAGTCTCAAGTCCTAAAAATAGTGACTCAAGTCTGACTCAAGTCCAAATCATGACTTGCAGTCCCCACCTCTGAATGTAACAATATCCAAATCTCATGGTACGATATTTTCATGATATGCATTTCACAGTACGGTATTTTTTGTGATATTTTGTGGAAGCTAACAAAATTGTGAATATGCTACTTTTTTCTCTTAAAATGCCTTGATAGGACTTCATTCAAAGAACTGAGATTTAAAAGTGCTTAGAACTGCTATTTCTTCATGTAATTTGCACAAAAATGGAGCAAAGGATCATGGTCGATGTAGTTCCCTCTGTTTTTTTTAGCTATTGCTGCACCATAACAATGAATTTGAGCATAGAAACTGGTGATTTGATATATTGTGATGGCCCACGATATTATTGAGAGACTTCTGACGATACAATATCACAATATTTTGGTTATTGTTACGCTCCTAATGTTCCCTATATACAGGTCAACCCAGATTCAGTTGTGCTTGTGTAGTACCTTTTTAAAAACTGAGCACAGACTACAAAATGTTTCAATAAGAGTAATAAGCCACGCGTTTTTACCATGGCCCTGCAGCAAAACAATATAAGGCACAAAGAGCTGAAAGTTTTAAATCCCTATGAAGCAGTAAAGCTAAAACACACCCTATGCTTCCTGTAACATATCACCCAACGCCGTGCTGGTAATTAGACTATATAATGTCTAATGGCCCCAGCTGCTCTGTGGATGAGGCTCGGTGGGAGGAGGGGGAGGGGGGGGTTCATTTAGGGAAGGGAGAGGGTGTGTGGGTGTGGAGGGGAGGTATGTGTCTGCAGTGACAGAGAGAGACCAGGGGAGACCGGGGCTGTACTGCAGTGAAAGTGACGGAGGCCTCTTATCCGGAGCAGTCAGAAGGAGAGCCGGAGGATTACAAGATATTTTCTGCAACCCCCCTCTCCAACGCCACTGCACTTAAATGGGCCCCATCCAGAGCCCAGGCACCAGCAGAGAGAAAGAGAGGGAGAGAGAGAGAGAGAGGATGGGCCAAGAGCGAGGAAGGGAGAGGGCGTAAGAAAGAGATGGGGAGCAGAGAGACAGAGAGAGAGAGAAAGACAGAGAATGACAGAAAGAGAGGCATTGGCAGAGTGTTTGTGTGTTTATTTGAAAGAGAGGGAGACATGTGAGAGAGGGCAGGGGAAAAGTCAGAGCGAGACAGAGAAAGAGAGAGAGAGAAGTGTGTGTGTGTGAGACAGAGAGAGTGAAAAACAGACAGACAGGAGGAGAGAGAGACAAGACAGCAAAAGACAAAGAGAGAGAGAGAGACAGTGTGTGTGACTGTGTGAGAGAAGGAGATGGAGAGAGAAAGACAGACAAAAGGAGAGAGAGACAGTGAGAGACAGCAAAAGACACACACAGAGAGAGAGAGAGAGAGAGAGAGACAAAGAGAGAGACAAGTGTGTGTGTGAGACAGAGAGAGTGAAAAACAGACAGACAGAAGGAGAGAGAGACAGTGAGAGACAGCAAAAGACACAGAGAGAGAGAGAGAGAGACAAGTGTGTGTGTGAGACAGAGAGAGTGAAAAATAGACAGACAGAAGGAGAGAGAGACAGCAAAAGACACAGAGAGAGAGAGAGAGAGAGAGAGAGAGAGAGAGAGGGACAGTGTGTGTGCGTTTGTGTGAGAAGGAAACAGAGAGAGGAAGACAGGGAAGAAGTGACAGAGAGAAAGAGAGAGGCAGAGACAGAGTGTTTGTATGTTTATTTGTAAAATAGAGTCATAGCGGGACAGAGAAAGACAGAGAGAGAGACAGAGAGAGAGAGAAGAGAGTGTGTTTTTGTGTGTGAAAGAAAAAGAGATAGAAACAGGGAGGGAGAGAGAAAGAAAGAGAGAGAGCGATAGAAAGAGACAGACAGGTTGTGTTTGTGTGCTTATTTGTAAGATAGAGTCAAGAGAGTGGCGAGAGAGAGGGGACAGAGAGAGAGAGAGAGAGCAGAGAGAGACACAGAGACACAAACACAAATATATGTGTGTGAGACAGAGAGAGTGATTGACACGAAAGACAGAGAGAGAGAGAGAGAGAGAGAGAGATGCTGTGTGTGTGTGAATGGAGAGAGTGGAGAGGGGGGAGCGGCAGAGAGATAGAGACAGACAGAAAGAAAGAGAGGCAGAGAGACATTGTGTGCGAAAGAAAGAGAGCGAGAGAAAGAGAAAAAGAGAGGGAGAGAGACAGAAAGAGACAAATACAGGGTGTGTTTGTGTTTATTTCTAAGATAAGAGACAGACAGAAACAGTGAGAGGGGCATGGGAGTAAGAGAGAGAGAGAGAGAGACAGAGTGTTTGTGTGTGAAAGAGATAACAAAACAGTGAGGGAGAGACAGAGAGAAAGAAAGAGAGAGGGAGAGAG